AACAATTATAAGAAAAAAATATAAAAAATAATAAGAAAATAATTATAAAAAAGTAAGAAATAATTATAAAAAATAAAAAACTTAAAAAATGATAAGATAAATAAAACATTTTTTTACCTTGTGATACTGGAACATGACTATCTCAATGGACCCTAAAATGTAGCATGTCACAAAAAAAAATATAGCTGCTATCATTGCTTTCCTTTTTTTGCAAAATGTCAGTTGATATGTCTGTTTTGCTGTTGATTCACTTGCTTTAAGGCCCCCTTTATACTATGCTATTCCATTGTGATGGCATGTCCGTTGGCACGTACAGTGCCATATGATTCCATGTGTTGTACTGCATTACCACAATGCATAGTCTGAAGGGGGCCTAAAATATTTTGAGTCACTGATAAAACTGCAGATCAGGTAAGTCAGAGAAGAGTCAGGAGTCCTTAGCTGTTTCCTCGATCTGTATCATGTCGCTCTATCCCTAGGACAGGATAACATACTTTGCTTTCTTCATAGATATAAATGAGTGTAAAGCCTTCTCTGGGATATGCACCAATGGAAAATGCAGAAATACAATTGGAAGTTTTAAGTGCAAATGCAACAATGGATTTGCATTGGATGCAGAAGAAAGAAATTGTACAGGTAATAGTGAATCGACATACTTTTCTGTGTAGTTGTATCTGTTGTATGCATGTGTTCATTGCTGTAGTGAGAAACATGATAATTTTTTTGTCTGGTTATTAGCTTATTCTGCACACAACTCTGCTAGACAAATACTGACATCAGTGAGATCTCTGTTAAAGGCTCATGTCGATTGGCATTCTTATCAAACTCTATGTTTGCTATGCAAATGCATGCTTTCAAATGGAAAACAGTATTTGACAAGAAAAGATGTTTGTCCTGGTTTTCATGCACTTTACACCACCTTAATTGGACATGCTGTATCCAAAGAGAAACAGCACAACTCAATGCAAAGCAGGCCAAATGCGACATCTGATCTGCCATGTGTACTGCTCAATTAAAGTCAATGGGAATTTGCTGGCCTGTGTTTGACGTGCCTTCCAAATGCAGGTCAAATGCAGAAAAACACACCCATTGGCATGAGCCCCTAATCTTACAAATTTAAATTGCAAAGAAAAATTGGGGAAAGAGTAAAGAGTTTCATGCTTTAAATCCATCTGCTTAAACCCAGCCTGTATATGTTCAGCCATTCATTACATTAGCATGACAGCGCCCACAGATTTAAAAAAAAATGTAAGTAGACTTAGTCCTTGATTCCTCAAGTATCATTATTTATGTCTTTTGCTACCTTCCTCTTCTACTACACTTACATATCGCTCGTTCATCTTGACACTGGTGTATCCCTAATGTGTGCAGTTCATGCAGTATATACAGGCCCCAAGGGAGAGAGGGATTCGATTTGGGAAGCAGTAAGCGTTGGAACTACTACCATGGGAGCCCATGTGGCTGCTTTAAGGGCCCAAGGCAGAGCGGGGCCCATTTAGGACCAGGAGTGGTGAACTACTCACTTTTCCCTTGGGGTACATCTCCACCATTCCGTTTCTTGCCTTTCATGTGGCACAGTTGCCAGTTACTCTCGTCTGTCCCTCCCTCCTCCCTGTGTGCCTCGGCAGAGATGCAAAGTGATCTCCTTCCAACATCTGCCTAAAAGTTCTAACTCTGATGTGGTCAGTCAGAGCCAGCTGGAGACAGTTTAAGCATGGAGCATTGAAGGTAGTAACTTTGACTTGTCAGTTGCCACTAATGATGCTAGCAACATGGTAGCGCCCAGGGATTTGTGAACAATCCACACCACCACCACTAAATCTGGGGTGGTGGAGCTGTTTATAACTGTTAACATTGTCACCAAAGGGAAAGTGGAGTTATAATTACACCCCCTTACCCCTTCTTCATTGGTGGCAGTGTCATTTACCTTTCTTGAGGAATGGGACACAGCTTATGACCCCCTCCATTCAGAAAAGACCCCTGCATTTGGAACAGTAACTTCTAATAAATTATGTATAAACTACATTAATGTTATGTTTTATTTTCAGACATTGATGAGTGCCGGATCTCCCCTGATTTATGTGGGAGTGGTACTTGCGTCAATACGCCTGGCAGCTTTGAATGCGAGTGCTTTGAAGGCTTTGAAAGTGGCTTCATGATGATGAAGAACTGTATGGGTAAGTTCCACAGCACTAGATGTTTTTAGTTTTCTGTGCAGTTTTCTATTTTGGCATCACTACAAGTAATAAAAATTAATAGCTTAAACTCAGAATTTGTAGAAGGTTTTAAGGGAATGCATGTACAGTTCCTTTTACTACCTTTCAGCTCCATGTAGTAAGCTGTCCTGATGGTTTAGAGCCTGCTGTGTACAACTCTAGTGGGTAGTACAATTAACCCAGGTTCGACAGAACTGCTTTATGACTTGTTCCCACCAGGAGGCATATGTTAACATGGGTTTTATTTTATTGATGTTCACTAGTATGTGCTGTTAATGTGTTTTTTTAGACTTCATTTGAATTGATGTGAATGGCAAACTGCTGCTCAGTGCACCCACAGTGTAGCATAGACTTTTTCTGCAATCCCTGAGTTTGCCTCATCAATCTCCCTGAGTGTGCCATCCTAGAACTTTGGCCATCTCCTGAAAGAAGGATCAATGATCATTAAAAAATATTTTAATTTTAAATATTTTGGACCTGGGTGATGCTGTGGATATAGGCTATCTTGATTTCAGCAAAGCATTTGATACAGATCCACATAATGACCTCATAAAAATTGTACAAGCTGAGACTTAACCCTTGGATGATTCAGTAAAAACAATTGGCTAAAGGATAAATTTCAGAGTATGGTTATAAATGGGGTTCATATGGAGCAGAGAGCAGTCTCTAGTGGTGTAACACAAGGCTCTGTCCTAGGTCTGGTTCTGTTTAATCCCCTTATGAGTGATAAAACTGAGGGTTTGGTGGGCAAAGGTATGCAATAGAGTTTATATTCATAGAGTTGTTTAGTTGTTTGTAACATGGAACATAATCTGGCCATGCTGGAAGATTAGTCAATGCAGTGGAAACTGCAGTTCAGCCTCAGAGGAAACAGATTTTGTGGGTGTGCTTATTCACAGTGTGTCCTGGCAGTGGGGAGAGTGAATAGAATTCTGGGGGTGCATTACTAGTGGGATCACCAGCAGGAGGAAGGATATCCTGATTATCTCCTGGATCTCATTTAGAATACTGTGTCCAGTTCTGGAGGTCTCACTTGCAAAAAGATGTTGATAAAATAGCTTGAGTCCAAAGACAACAAAATGGTGAAGGGTCTAAAGGATAAATCATGTCAGAAGAGACAGCAGGAAGTAAAGCCAAACCTATTTGTATGGCTTTATTTCTCTTTAGGGTAATAGGAGTTCATTTACTAATGTACTCCTGTGACCCAAAGCAAGTCTAACGAGGGCTACTGCCCGTTATCTGCTGACAGCGCAGAGCCATGCTGCAGCAAGGAAGGATGCCAACAATCTTGTCAGGAATTACCCAGCTGCCAGGTTGACAGCTGGGTCTTCTTTTCTGAAACCAGAGCCAGCTGTGCCACCCCCTCCCATATGACCCTCCAGTGGGTGCTGGAGAAATGAGGTGGGGAGGAGGAATCCCTGTGGGAAATAATGATTGATAGTCACTGCTCTCTATACACACGATCACGCATCTCTCATTATAGCTGCAGTGTCCCACACCAACTCTAAGTATTGGGAATAGTACATTTCACTCTTCAAATACTTCTCTTTAATCTGAACAGTGTCAGGAACCGGATCTGAACCCAGCGCCTCAGCTGTAGCTGGCGGTGGTTCTACCTGCTGAGCCACCTTAGAACCTTGGATAGCTCCTTGCCTGTTCTCCTGTGTAATTCTCAGTTATACCTAATCTTTGCTGAACTCCTTGCTCCTCCCTTGAGCTTCCTTTTTAAGCCATGCCTCTGCACTTCCTATTTGCCAGATTATTGTGCTCCTGCCTTGATCTTGCTTCCTGCTCCCCCTGTGCTACATCTGCTCGTACTGCTTCCCGTGTACCGCCCCTTGGCTGCTGATTTACCGACTACTCTCTCCGTCTCCTGCTACATACCTGATACCTTTTGGCTCCTGACCTCGGCATGTTCACTGACTACGCTTCTGCCTGCTCCTCCACCACTACCGTCTGCTTGTGTACCGCAACCGGCCTGTTATACTACGAATTGCCTGCTGCTTCAGCTGCTGGACTCTGAGCCTGATCCCAGATCATGAAAAACAGTCTTGAGGAAAGAAAGGAAAGGGGGGACATAACTGGAGCCTTTAATTACAGTAGAATTTGAATAAGCTGATATAAGGTTCAGAAGGGTGGTATTTTCAATATGAAGCTAAGATCAAGAACTCAAGGACATATCTTGACACTAGCAGGAGGACAGTTTGTTGCTAACCTTAGAAAGTACTTTTTACAGAAAGAATAGTTTATCCTTGGAACAGACTTCCAGCAGAGGTAGTAAGTTAGTCAAGTGAATTAAAAAAAATATAAGGATGAAGATAGATCTATACTGCGACAAAAGGGTCAAAAAAGAAGAAAAAAATAATTAAGAAGGGGCAGACTTGATGGACCACTTTTCCTGCCATCACTCTTTATATGTTTCTATATTATAACAGGTAATACCAGCAGAATGCTGGGGGCTTTCTGAATCTGCAGGTGGCTTATATATTGAATAGGCTGGGGCACTATTATATTTGGAGATTATTGTGTTGTACAAGTCCAGCTTGGGGACATTTACTTGCTATGTCTCATATGTTGCATTCTGTTGTCTGTTAAAATGTAGCAAATATCTGTGCAACTACACCATTCAGCTGTGAAACTTTGTACCTGTAATCTGTGAATTTTGTTCTAATTTGCCAACTTCAAGCTTTTCAACTGGACCTTGTTTAACATTAGACAAAGTAAATGGTATTTTATTTTATTTTTTTCAAACAAGTCTAATTTGCCTTTTTAATTGCCACCTCATTACTCTTTTATTGGTGTAAATATAACCTTTGGAGCAGGTTCATACCTAGTAGTGTTACTACAGAATCTCTGGGGGCTGGCAGTGCACTTGAGGTATACAGCGGGAGTCTGATATGGCTTGGTCGGTGTGATTGACATGATGAACCTTTTCTAATCTGGCTGGATATTCATCTCATGTCAATGGCCACCTTAATGCTGCTCATACACTTGAATAGTTTACTGTGCTTTCCTTCAGCTTTCAACCACAATAACCTGCTACCCAACATAGATTAAAACAACTGTACCACCAAATCAGAAAGAAATGGCAAATCTAGAATTTTTTAGTTGTCAGGTAAGGGTAACCAATAGTGACTCCTGTTCCTGTGACAACTGTCTAAGAAGGAGAGTCCTCTAATTTTTTGGAGATTTTCTCTCAGTTCCTGTTGCATCTTAGGGAAAGGAAGTAGAGGGATGTCTCCCCACAAACAGTAAAAATAACTTACAGGGGATTTAACCCCCCCCCCCAAAAAAAAAATTACTATAAATACATTTTAACCCGACACCAAAACCGAAAATACTATAAGACTGGATACTTAACTTATCAATGTCAAATGTATACCATTTGGAATCCTTCCCTTGTCTGCGCCCAGACATTGCAGCTCCAATGATATCTGGCTAGACAAAATGACGTTTAAAAAAACAACACACCAAATAGTAACTGTGTCTTAGCAACAGGGATTCCAGCTCAGACTTTGAGTCAAAAAAAGTTTATATCTACCCCCCGCATGGCAGAAATGGAAGCAGCACTTAAGGATAAACTGCCATAAAATATACCCTTTTTTAGAAGTGGTAACCAACATAAAACACAAACACTAAAGTATAAACATTGTTCAGTGATATATATCATATGCGTCTAGTTAGTCTTGCAACATTCATTTTTACAATACCCCTATTCTGAAATAAAATGATACGTTCAAGAATGTTGCCTGATGTACTATTGATGTAAAGTACACGGTTCTCAGGCTTTGGAGAGGACACACTGCTGTTATGTTATATTTCAGTAATAGATTTTCTCCGCTAGCCTGACAGCCTTTATAATAGTGGAACAATTAAGATAAAATGCTTGGTTCATTTAACTGTTTGCCTTGTTTCCTTACAGACATAGATGAATGTGAACGGAACCCACTGCTGTGCAGAGGAGGAGATTGTGTGAACACTGAGGGTAGTTTTCTGTGCAACTGTCCCCCTGGACATGAGCTCACTCTATCAGGGGACGCCTGTATAGGTGAGTTTACATCATGACTTAAACCGTTCCATATGACATGTTACAAGGCAGTGTGTTTGTACTTTACAGATCACAAAATACATTCCCTTTACATTAGACAACATAAAAAAAACTCTGTCAGTGTTTTGGCGAAGACTTCCAATTACCCTCCTGTCTCTTTCTTCCAACTGCCACATTTAACAAACCAGTTAACAAAGTCTGATGTCAGACTGAAAATAACTTATTTCTTGCTGACGTCCAATCTGATTTGTAAAACTGGTAGACATGAGCAGGCTAACTAAACAGGACCTGGAATCTATGAGTAGCTTTGGTACTGATGGGCTGAATCATAGATTAAATAGTAACTATGGTAACAGACCTAGGTGCAAATAAAATTACAGAGAAACACAGAAATATGTAAAAGGTAATGAATGATGTTGTCATATTTAGTCTAACCTAATGCAAAGAGCAATGATGTACATCAAGCAATGGGAAATCAGCACTTATTTGTTCAACTACACAAAACCAAGGAAAGCTTATGGGTGATGCTCATGGCATGTTGATATATAAATATATGCCGGGGTGACAACTTACCAGCTAAGGCAGTATTTACATATTTATTGAAAGAGGCCAAGCACCAGCCATGTTTTTCATGTTAAGTTAATGCATGCTAAATGATGTGTAAGCGTAACACTTTATTTATTTAGTAAATAAACGCCCTTACCTTCCTTTGGCACCATCTTTGTTCATGTATAATTCCACAGCAGAATCTATGCTGGGCCAGGGATAATGCAGCCATGTACCTTTGTGTTTTTGTCTATGTGTACAAATGCTGTCTCACATATCTCAGACCACCTGCTGATTTTTACTAGGAGTCATACGCTGGCTATCGGTGGCTCACATTTTTACCGATTAAGCAGGAATATGAGCAATGGGTGGCCATGCAAGTACCACCCAGCCATTAAAAGTTTTTGTAAAAATTTACTGAGCTGCGTAACACATTTTCGGCCAAACAGTGACTGTATCCTATCAGATGCAGTCACTGTTTGGCAGCCCCACTGTATTCTGCCAGCCACACATGCTGAATACAATAGCCAGCATTGGACAATCCTCTTTCCACAGTATTTAGCTTGGGCGGGGGATGTGACTGTCTTTCTCTCATTAGCCCGTGGACTAAATAAGAGAACTGCAACCTATGCCAGCTTTAATCAATAAAAGTCTTAACCAGAACAATGCAAGATGGATTTTGATTGCTCACTTTTAGTTACTGCACTTAAGAATAAATACTTTTTATTGAAAAAGCGCCACTTGTGGAGCTTTATGGCTGTTGTTAATAATATATTATGATTTTTTTTGTAACTGTTGCTCTGAATTGTGACGTGTCAGTGATGCCATCACTGTGAGTGATGGTAGCTATGGAGGATGTTCATGTGAAACTGTGTGCTGTCCCTTTGATACGCCGACCTGGCTGAGGAGGTGGACACAGGAGTTGACACTGTCCAATTGGTTTTGGCAGCCACAGGGCTTGGTCTTCGCCCACTCTCCTCTGCTCCTGTGTGTGTTGTGTGTAGGGCAGCCATGCTGGTTACCAAGACAATGTTTCCTGAGCTGTCTCTCATATGCAGTCTTCATTCTGCTTCTAATGTTACATTAACTGTCTCTAAAGTGTTGAGTGAACTTTGACAGATCCTACATACTTTATATCTTTTTATTGTTGTCCATTATGTTTTGGCTGTTAATGATTCAAATTAAGGGCAGAAACATGATGTTATAATGACATCGGCCTATTGGCCAGGTGATGATCAATTATCTGTTAATGCTGGAAGTTGAACTTGAAGCTGAAGGGCTGTAGTGAGTATTGATGAGCCAGAAATTAATATCTTTTTACCAAAGTTTATTTTAACTGTATCTGGAGTCCATAAGATGCTGTATACAATTGTTTTTTTTCACTATTCTATTGAAAGGGAAACACTTCTTCAAAGAGTACCCTGTAAGACACCTGACTATCACATCTCTGCAAGCCTGTTGGATATCTCATTCAAAACTATGGACATTAATATGGAGTTTACCTACTTCCACTGCAACCACACTGAAATGTGTGAAAACATTTTTTTTCAAGTGGACTATTTTTAATTATTTCTCCCATTTTCACAGGCTCAATTCACAAAGCTTTAATTTCAGGCATGTAACTGTCGTTTTCACATCTCATTGGCTGAAAATAACTTTCAACTTTTTGAAAACAAGTATCCCTATGCTGATGTATTAACTTTGTGAATTGAGCCTTTTGACTTATATATAATGGTATTTAACATTTTATTTTTACAGCTGTATTCTATATTTGGCCACTTTGAGATTCTAAATACTTTTTTTACATGCTTTAGATGTTGCTGCATTTGTAAAGAAGTCATATTTGTGGAACTTCACCAAAGAATTTTTTTGTCAGCTGCATTATTTCAATTTGCTGCTATCAAAACCACTTCATAATTTTCCAACTTCACAGCTGTATAGAAAGAAGCTTTATAAAAATCTGGGAAAGCGGTCAAAGAAGCCCCTTTAAAATGCAGCAAAGTTAATCCATGTTCCAAATCTTTAAAAATTATATACTGCCATGTATATGTATTTTTTGCAATGTACCATTTATGATTTACAAAATTATAAAGGTAAATGAGTCAATACTTTCTATTTGTAGTCTGTGTATATTTCATAATATTAACATGTTTTGTATTCTATGCAGATATCAATGAGTGTTCCCTCAGTGACAATCTATGCAGAAATGGAAAATGTGTGAATTTAATTGGCTCATACCAGTGCGCTTGTAACCCAGGGTACCAATCCACTCCAGACAGGCTAGGCTGCATTGGTAAGTAAAGGAGAGAACATCATAGAATGGATCATTGACTAATATTATCATACATAGCAAGACAGGCAGATAGACGTAATTTTGTACTTAGATGAAACATAAAATGCATTATTATTACTATTATTATTATTATTAATATAGAGGATCAGAACATTTCCCTGTTATCCCTTTTTAATTTTTGTAACAATAAATCCTAAAATATGTTTAGCTGTAGTTGGATCAAGTAATCATAAGGTATTAAGAGATCTTACAGAACAGTCAAGTAATGATGAAAATCTTCTTTCAGATATTGATGAGTGTAAAATAATGAATGGAGGGTGCGACAGCCACTGTGAAAACTCAGAAGGCAGCTATAAATGCAGTTGTCTTGATGGCTATGCTTTACTGCCAGACGGAAGAACCTGTGGAGGTAACTGATATCTCTGTACTGCCAGATGATTTCTTGTACTGTGATGGCTTTAGTCTGAATTGCTGTATGTAACAAGCTCCATTCATATGAATGATGCATGCAGGGCCGTCTTTAATACTGATTGGGCCCTGGGCAAACAATTTCTTGGCCCCCCCTCCCCCGGCCCTAACAGCAGCATACGGAAGAGGTGGGGGCAACACCAGTGGCGGACCTAAGGAACAAAGGGGGGGCAATGTATATAGAGAGGGGGGAGGGGAGGCAATGTATATAGAGAGGGGGAAGGGGGGCAATGTATATAGAGAGGTGCCCTCTCTGTATACATTACCTCCCTCTCGCACGCTCTGCCTCTCCCGCTCACAGCCGACAAACCCAGCGGAGTGGGCGGGGACCGGGCAGTAGTGCGCTGAGATCGGCGGAGGGTTGCCGTGGCGATAGAATGCTGACCCGGCACGGGAGCCGTGCTGTGTCAGATTACACAGCGTGGCTCCCGATCTGGCTCAGCATTCTATCGCCATGACAACCATCAGC